TGGAATGTAATATTTTAATATTGCATTTCAAAATATCATTATATCATTTCTAATTATATTTGGTTCACTTTTCTGAAAATTTTCATACCTATAGCATCAGTTATTATATTTTTTTGCATCATTTTTTCTAATGTAAGATTTTAATATATATCTTAACCTCTTAGGAATTTTATAATTTGTCAATTAAGTCATAACATATTAATTTTTTAAAATATAAAGAATATACCACCTTACAATTTACTAGGATGTTATTCCAAACCTTTTTTTTTAATTTTTAATTTTTGCTATGTTTTTGTATTTTTAAGTAAACATTATTATAAAAATTTAGTACATTTGAAAATTGTCAACTGTCTACATTGTATTTGACGTACATTAGTTTTTTTGTTTTTGTTTTATTTGTCAAAAATTGTGCGAAATAATTTTCAGAAAAATTTGTAAATTTCTAAAGTAAACAGCATTCTATTTACATTCTAAAATAAGGTTCAAAACAAATCAAATTAAATAAACGTAAAATTAAGAAAAAACTATATAATTTATAAGTAGAATATTTATAGAGTGTTATTATTATGGTATTTTGTTTCTAAGTCTATCGCAAATTGTTAATAGGTGTGTGATTAAAATAGTTGTTTTTGTAATATAATACTTTAGATAATAGTTGATTTTTTATATCATATATTAAATATTTATTTTTACTATCTTTACTTTGTGAGCCACTTTCCATTTTAGCATATGAGTTATTTTAAAACAATTTCATTGGCAAAAGTTTTGCAACAACATTATACTCCAATATCCATCTCTAATTTATAAACATATGTTCGGAATTTAAATAGTCCTTTTAAAGTTATTTGCACACGAAGAAGGTCTGACGTTCAAATATCAAAGACTTAATTAATATCCTTGTGTGAATTAGTCAATCGTTCGACCATTAATGATTTGCAATACCACATGTCCTTTGGAAAATGTTATTTTGGACCCAAATGAAAGGTAATAAGGCTGATCATGCGAAATTAATTAAACTTGGCACACATTGTTATTATAATTTACCAAAACTGTGACAAAATTTTTAAATTTATTCATACGGTAGTTTGCGAGATATGCGAACTTACACTCTGACCTGAAACTTGCCTAGTTTTAGGTTGAGAGCACGTTTTGCCTAGGTGCAGCATAGTATTTGAGAATTTTTATTTTTATTTTACAATTTGTATAAGTTTTATAACATCATCTAACTTATTGCATTGTAAACATATTTTCAATTAAAACTTTTAATTAATTCGTAATTTTATTTTTTCGTTATTATCTATCCATTTTCATGGATGCATAATTCGTGGTGAATACGTAAATATTTTAGAATAGCTTGTTTGAAAAAAATATTAAAGTAAAGTATTAATTAACAGTTTTGTTTTACAAACTAAAACAAACATAGTATTCAATATTATATTGAATTAAGGAACTTTAGTAATTTCTGAAAAATATTTTAAAATAGATAATTTCTGTACTAAAGAATAAATTTGTTTGGTTTTAAATCCTCTATCTATCTATCTTCATAAAGTCTTTTTTTCTATTATTAATGATCTTTTTTTTGATTTTATTTCGACGAAAATATACAGATATTTAAAGTTACATGTTACTGAAGTTTGGGTGTTCTTGAAGTTTAGAGAAGTTTCTTGTGAGGAATGGAAAATATTCTCATTATAGATATAATGAGCTCTATTTCGTAAAAGGAGTACGCTGATGTCTGCATTTTTCATCAAGTTCTTCTAATTTAGCAGCATCGTCCATTTCGTCTACATCTTTTGGTTCTACTGGAACGTTCAGTTTGTGACTTCCAGTGCCACTCTTAACTTTTTCCTCCCGTTCTTTTTCAGAAGTTTTAGAAGAGTGACCTTCACGCTGGGGAAGGATATTTATTTCGTATAAATTGTAATGGTCTGGATAATTTTGTTCCAAAACTATGTATTTCAAGGATAATATCTCACGTGAGTTTTGGATCTTCCAGAAGTACCGCGGCCGCTTTTGCCGCCAGCTCGGACTCGTAACCAAGCAAACGCGCAAAGAGCGACTACGGCGACTGCCATCACATAAGTCCCTAAAATACCATTTTAATAATTTTGATATCCGCAATAATCAAATTTAATTCAGAGTTAAGCCATGATTTCTGATCGACATCCTTATCAAGTGAAAATTGAGCGGAAAAAGAAAAATCTAACTTGACTATGACAAAATACGAAAGAGAGAAGGAAAGGAAAATTCAAAACAAGAAAAAAAAGATTTGTTGTTAACTTTGTTAAAACCATTGTTCTGATATATTATATTCATAAGTTTTGTTTAAATGACTATGTTGTGCTGTGTAGTTCAATTACTATATTTAGGTTCAAATTCAAGTATTTTTATGTTACTATATTTCTTGAAATGTTCCTAAATTCTAGAATGATTTATATTTTTAATTTAATTTTTTTTCACCTGCCATCGCATATTCTAAAGGAATAGTAGGAAGGCTACGAGCCGTACGATCAGAAAACCAGTTGAATGGATTAAACCGTGGAAAAAGCCTGTCGTGAACTGTTGCCAGCATATTCATAAATACATTTACTATATACATTTTCTGATGTTATTGTCACAAACTCACTTTAAAATTTTGAAAAACTATTCGTTTGCTAGGTATATTAATTTTTTTTTTTTGATTTTTTAAATATTTTTACTTTTTTTTTGATTAATAAATTTTGTTTTAAATTTTGACAAATTGTCAATTTATGTCAGTGGTTACTAACATTGCATACAGATTTGACAAAGTTGAATTGATAAAAAAATTCCTAAAATAATTATATAAAATTAATTGTTTATGTAATAGATTATAAAATATTTTAAGTAAGATAATGGATATATTTTTTAAAAAAGGTAACCAGCATAAACAAATTACTAGATTTTTAATAATAATGTATAATGAATATATATAATTCTGCATTAAAGTGATGGACTCCTAATTTTTACGAGGATAGCTAAATGGGAATTATTGACCAACACATTTTTTTGGACTAAATCTTTTGATCGAGGCTCTTTGGTTTGCTGCAACTAACAAGGAGTACCTCTGGTTAACTCTTTTGGGATTTGGATGAAACTTTGCATGGTTATAAGGTTGATAGTCAAAACAAGCCTCTTAAAATATTATAGGGTTACAAGATGATTTTACAGAGTTTTCTGCTAATATGTGGATTGAATATTTTGGTTTGGTTTGGTTCAACTAAAAAGGAGAACCCCAGGTCTACTTTTCTGGGATTTGGATTAAATTTCGCATGGTTATAAGGTTGATAGTCAAAACAAGCCCCTTAAAATATTATAGGGTTACGAGATGATTTTACAGAGTTTTGGGCAAATATTTTGGGCTCTGCGTTAAGGCGACGGACTCCTAATTCTTACCAAAGAAAAAGCCAAAAGTAAATTCAGAGGGAGGAAAAGTAAATGGCTGGGAATTATTGATCAATTAATTGAATAACAAAATATCTTGGAATTACCTATTACTCTACCATGTCTTTGCCATAAATAAGTAAATAGGCTTGTGTCAACTTCTGCCTGGTCGAATAGAATAAACGAAGATGATACCATTACGCACTACATTTTTTACCAATTAATTATAATCGTTAGCTCAACCTGTCAGCAGATGGATCATAAATCGATACCTCGGACGGGGTATGCAATTTCATTAGCAGTATCTGATTACAACTGATATGATGTGTCGACGATACCTTGAAATGTCAGACGTTTTAACCGGAGGCCGGTCTCATAAAACGTCAATCCCGATTCGGTCGACCAAGCAATTTAGAATTAAGTTTCGGGTATGTTCTCAATTTCGATCATGAAGAGGCTATATCGTTTTAGGAATTTCAGGCTTCATAGATTTGGAAACAGAACTTATCGAAAATATTATCTCAGAGGATTGGGAATACTCTGAGGAATTACCATTATATGAAATTCAGATACTTGGACATAAGTTTATGAACTTTGTTGCTGAGCATATGAGTGAAAATCTGATTATAGAAATTTATTAAACCATTAAATTTTGCAGCAAATATTGATTTATACATACACATTATTACATAGTTAATCAATTGTTTTTTTAAATGAAAAAATGCATTTGAAGTTTATTAAAATAATAATGAAGTATTTCTAGTAATAGGTATCACTTAATAAACGTCAATGAAATAAAATATGGTTGAAACACGTTCAATACAATTATTTTATTTGTAATGGATTTTACGCATTAGGGCGTAATTGTTCTGAAATTAGAGCAAATATTACTCTAAAAACACGTAGGATAAGTTATATTAATATGTTTATTCAATAAATATTTAAAAAAATATAGCCTATATATAGTGCAAAATTTGGATTTTCTATTCCAAATAAATATAGTTAAAATAATGTAAAATATTCTTTAATATATTACAAAATGTGAATTTTAATTTTATTTCCAAGAAGTACGTTTCTGTATCATATGAACCAAGTTTCCGCTTTCATTTCCGAGTTATACATATACGTTTATATCTAATAAATTTAACAATAAGCAAAATTTGATTAGATCACGGATGTTCTCATATTGATATCAGGTGCCTCAGTTCGTAATTCAATATATTATGCTCTCGACTTAATAATATAATATTACGTCGTGGATTCGTTCAAAGCATTTTATGAAATAATGTATAGAATGGTGTAAATAAATAGCAACTGGTGTAAAATTATATGCAAATTTTTTCTGTTAAAATTTTCTAGTTGAAATATATTTAAAAAAATATTGACAATCAAAACATTTTTAAAAATCCGGGACAATCCGGAACAAAACACCTAAATCCGGGACAAATATTGCTTTTAGAGAAATCCGGGACGCAAGGCGGAAAATCGGGACTGTCCCGGCCAATCCGGGAAGTATGGTCACCTTACTAAAATACATGAACTCATTATTTAGTTTATAAGCAATGTATCTTTATAAAATTTGATTTCTATCCTTCCAGGGCCTCAGACAGATCGCCCTTTGACAATTGTTGTGGGGCCGGCTATTTGGCCGTCGGTTCAATATCGCAGTCGACTTCGGAACCGTCGAGCCCCGGGGAGCCTCCACCAAACCCCAAATATCGAGTTGTTATGCTGGGAGATTCGGGTGTGGGGAAGACTGCCCTTGTTTCCCAGTTTATGACTTCGGAGTACATGAATACTTATGATGCCAGTCTTGGTAAGACGAAAACATTGTAATAGACAATTTATAATAGTAAACATATGAAGTGATTTTTGGTCAAAAAGTGACCAAAAAAATTGCATGTAGATACAGTGTACTTCAAAAAAGCAACAGAAGATGTGAGATTTTTATGGCTTGTAAATCTCTATGTTCCAATTGACTTCAAGTCTTTGATTTAAAAATCATATTTGTTTCATTGTTTCCTATCATTCCCTGTATTTTCACACCAAATGCACTTATTATACCGTCAATTGCCTGTGAATGCCATCCTAAGAGTCTCAATATTCTTTACTTAAAATTCTTTAAGAGTGGCACGTTAAAAAGTAATTTACCAAATTCCTAAATTTGCATATAGGGCAGTAGCTAACAATAACTTGACGTGATGAAATCTCCTAGAACTTGGAAATGTGAGGATTAACTATTCTTGCGTGCTAGGATATACGCAATGATCCTTTTATCGGTTCCATCAAGATCTAATCTGAAGGCATTAGTATATAAAACACCGTGGGTACTATGTACTATATCGGGATATAATGTAGATGTGATAATCAAGAAATATTGTAGAAGTTGACGTAATCATATATGATGAAATTTGAAATATAAAATATAATTTAAATTCAGCATTTAAATATTACAACGATGCACGGACATTCTTTTTATCAACAATTATAATCTTACGTCCTATAAGCAATTGGGCTGAAACTTTTCCTTATATCAAATTTTTAGATGGTAACCCAACGGTTGGTCCATTCTTATATTTGATTACTTTATTTTTATATATTATAGTAACCCAAGTTTGATTATTTCATTTTTAGAATTTATCTAATACAGCGTTTGTAAATCTTATCTTATCATCAATTTGATGCCGCAATGCCCAAGATTCCCAATTGATATCAGAATTTTTAGCAAAGGCATGGACAAATATTTTTGCACTGATCTACTAATTCTAAAGAAGTTGACCTCAAAACTAATTAAAGAGAGTATTTAACGTGTTTCACCAAATACAGACGTTTTTGAGAAAACTTCGACAAAAGGCCAAATTTTGGATTACATACAGATACATGCAGCCACACTCATACTTTTTCCAATATTGATCTCAAACGATCCAGAGTGTCTTCAAACAGAAAAAAGTAGGCAAATCTGGCAAAAACAAATACTTCTCCTTCTGGAAGTTAAAATAGGAAGAATTATAGAACAGAATAAATTTCATATCAATGCATATTACAACAACAATTTCACGCATTATAAATCCTTTAACAAAAATTTCATACGCTAATTACTTCCATACACAATTGCAATTTCATTTGAATTCTGAAATAACATATTATCGTTCGTGTAAACAAAACAAGTAATTATCTATAAACAATGAATCTGCTACAGCATCTCTATTATCTAACAATTTCAGTATATTTTAAATTTAATTAACAGCGTCCTATGTACATATTTATTATGTAATGTAATCAAATTTTATGTTTTACTATATTTCATGTCACAGCCAATTAACTGGAATAACAGAAACCCACCTAGTAAAATTGCAAAAATTATTTATCAAAATATTGCATATGGTGATAGAACAATAAATTTGGTAAAATATGACTAAAACTGGGTTAATTGTTAATTAGTTTTTATAAAATACTAATGAATCGTGGAGTTTCAGAAAAATCAGTATTTACTGAATCGTGGAGTTTCAGAAAAACCCAATATTTACTGATTAGATTTCGAAAATCTTAACAAAGAGAAAAGCAAAGTTACGAAAATGATTTATCAAAATGTTTCTAAAACTCTCGTAAAAGCATTATCGTGTAGACTCAACATCTGAACACAGATTTATACTTCGTTAAGGTAGTTTCGTCAGCATCAAGAAACAATTTATTTATCGACTTTATTTGATCGAGATACTGATACAAATATCTGAGGTAGAGGTAAATGCGATTGGAAACCCATTTGAAATAAATTCAATGATGAAGACTTATTTTTATAACAGAATAAAAATATTCCTTATTAAAATTATTCCCTTGACCAATCTCAACCCAATATTTTCTTTATCATCCGACATATCAATTCAAATCACACCCACGGTGTTTACATATTTTTGCCGAAAAGCTGTGCCTTTCCTTTAGAAAATATTATACAAATATCAATATGATATTGTGCGACAATAACATTTTCTCGTTGGGTGGTTCTGATTAAATTTTCATATTTTTCAGATGAAGAATTCGGTGAAAAAACAGTTTCCGTGTTACTGGACGGAGAAGAGAGTGAGATGACTTTTATCGATCATCCGGCGGTCGAGATGTCGGTAAGTAGACGAAGAAATTTTATTCTTAAAAAATTCATGCAAAATAATAAGAAATTTTAATTATTAAATATAATAGCGAAAAGTTAATTAATAAATAGAATTTTATAAAATTAAATTAAATTCATATAGTTGGGGAAGGTAAACTGAGCCTGTACTTTATGAAAGCATCAGATTTGTGAAAACAAAAAGAAAGTACTAATTGAAATATGAACTAGTGGTGCATGGCATTGTGCCTTAAGGCAAATTGCTGAGACTTCCCGTACCAATTTTTTTTTTCAAATTCAAATTTTTTTTAGAACTCTGGTAAAATCGATCATTGAGATTTTTAAAGTTTTTGAAAAAAATTGAATAGATCAAGTTTAGTTTCCAGTCAGTCGAAGAATTTACTCTTAACAAATTAATTATAAAATATATATCCTATAAGTATGTTACATAAGTTTATTACTATTAAAAAAAGATATTTCATTTGAATTTGTATATTTTCTGAAACATTTAATACGCAATAACTGCGTTACGATAACAAATGAAATTTCCTGGTGTTCATTAAAACGTTTACGAGAACCTCAAAGTTAATTAAATAATTTAGCATGGCCATTAAGTCGTTATAAAATTTTATGTTACTTTATAGATAGATGTTATATATTTTTAGCTTTAATAAAATCGTTATCGTTTATAATGAAATGGTTGAAGAAATAATAATATTTCTAAATTATCTCAAAATTCAACTGGAAAAAAACTAATTTAAAAATTTATAATTAATTCTCTGAAAATTCTTTTTTTCACGAAGTGTGAAACATGAGTAGGCATTTTCATTTCGTTGTAAATTAAATAAAACCCCTCACACAAATACTACGAAATCTGCTTTCTGATTTATAAGTTCTCCTGAATTATTTTTAATTAATCATACCACCCTGCCATATTTCATACACGTCCTTATTCCGAAAGTTGCACTGAAATTTAATTAGAATTTTCCTCAAATTACACTTTTAGCTTTTCCAGGAAAGAAAACACAGAAACCGTGTACCCTTTGTAAATGCTTGTTTTTTATTGTACAAGTTAAATGAACATCTGAAGATGATATTTTCCGATGAAGTAGGAGTTAATAATTAAAAATGATCACCATGTCGTTTTTAGTGCAAACTAAAATGACTATTGAAGTGCTTGAAATTTAAATACCTTTAGTTGAAATATTTTGTCAATGCACTTTATAAACAAAATGGATTAAATTTTATCTAGAAATTACTATGGAAATTAATATTATATACTAAGTGCCATCAAGGATCTGATGGAACAAACGAAAATTAATATAGGTTGGATGGAGGATTAAAGTTTTCCTCTCGGGATTACATGCTAGATGAAATTAAAAAAGCTTGCGGCCAATTAATCTAAGCTTTATTAGATTTTCATAACAAGGAGTAAAAAATAGGGTATAAAAATTAGTAAATTAAAGATAAAAACGATGACCATAAATTTGATCCAAAATTAGAACCACGTTACGAACTTGAAGGAATCGTCTAAATACCCCATATAATAATGGAAATTTAATCTTTTTATACCAAGAAGCTGTATTCTTAATTTTTCTGGTTCGATGACTGACTAATACAAACTTTATTATTAATTAATTCTTATATCTTTTAATTTCCAGGTTGAAAATTCTCTCTCTACATACGAGCCACACGCATGTGTGGTAGTTTACAGTGTGGTCGCCAAACACAGTTTTCAGTTTGCCGAAGAAACTTTGAATTATTTGTGGCAAGAAAATATTACGAAGGACAAATCAGTGATTGTCGTGGCAAATAAAGCAGATTTGGCGAGGGCCAGAGTCATACCAAATGCAGGTAAAAATAATAAAAAATTAATTATTTATACTCATTGTGTGAAGTATATGTAATTTTTTGAGATTATAAGGTATTTGTCAAGTTTTGGTAGCTTTAGAGAAGTAAAAAAGAAACTACGTTTGTTTACACTGAGATAAAGTAAAAAAAATAAAAACAGATTCTGCAAATCGTCTACGGTCATTATTGTCTCAACATTTTATTCTTTATAAAGGATGGCTGGTGATTCTGATTAGTATTAAAAATATGATTAAAAGATGAACTGTTTTTAGAGAACTTCAGTGTGTTTTTAAATTTTAGTTTAGGGTTGTAAAAATTATAAATATGTTCAATCATTCTGATAGAAATTTATTGTAAACTTTTCCCAATATAGCAACAATCACAGTCATTGCAATTCATCTTAACAAATGTATATTTTTTCAACGCTTTGACTGTTAATATATATATATATATATATATATATATATATATATTTATATCTGTGTGTGTGAGTGTGTGTGTGTATAAGTACATTATCATTATTTGAACAAAAACCGCTTATTTCCTTAAACACAAGAAGTTTTCCATATGCAAATTATTTCTTTTCTTTCTGTGATTTTGTCGCATCTTCATTTTTCGAAAAGAGCCTAAATCTCCCATCAAAAATGAATGGTAAAAGCAAATCTGCCCTTTGAAGTTACCTTTATAATGGAATCGCAAACGAGATATGTAGATATATTCATTATTCATATGTATTCCTTTACTTTCCGACCTCACGCTTTTTAAACTAATGACCATTCATCATTTGTGTATGAAAATATATTATTTTAGACAATGGTCTGTGCGGTTCTGGATCCTGAATTGTGATGAATTATATGGAGCCATTGTGTGGTGAAAATGTTTCATTAGGCATGAGCTGTGTTATATATTAATTTAAGCTTTTAGCTTTGGTAATTTCTTAATTAAGGAACAAAAGGAAGATTTGCTTTGTCGAATCATTAATATGATGACCATGCTTTAAAAACATGAGTCTAAACAAAAAAAAACATCGGGTTCAAGAGATTGTAGATTGTAATAGAAACAACTAATTTGCACAACCAAGTTTGTTGAAAATTTGGGAAAACTGCACATTTGCATTCTTGAGTATGGAACAAGAGTAGAATTTCAAAAAATTATTTATCTAATTCTTATCTTTCCAATGGAAAAAATGTGTTTTCACCAGAAAATTTGATTTGCTGATTTTGTTAATAATTCATTTTAGAGTATCGTAAAAAATTATTTTACAGTATGTAAAATAACTGTATTGCTTCTGAATTACAAAGAGCTAAGAATGAAATCTGTACAGAGATATTTTTAATAATGAATTGAATTTTAATAATTCACTTTAGTTCTTTCTAATAATTATGTAAAATAATATTACAGATGGAAAAACTTTAGCAGCTTCACGTGAATGCAAATTTATAGAAACATCGAGTGGAATTCAACACAATGTGGACGAATTATTAGTTGGGATACTTAAACAGGTAGAATAACTATTCTTTTTTGTCTTTATTGAATAAATAGATATAACTTTATATTTCCAAGTGAAAAAAAACCATTCCAAGACGGATACATAAAAAAATCAGTTAAAAATACTAAATGTTGAAATATATCATAACTAAAAGGATGACCATTGGGTTGCCTAAGAATAGGCTATTGAAACAATTACTAAATGTATTACTATAATGAAAGATAGATTTTTTAATTCATATGTAAACAAAAATCGTCAATCAGACTTTATTTTATTTCCATATAAATAATAATCTATATAAATCATAAAAACATTTAGTAATTGTTTTGTTAACTTTAGAGGTAAAAATAACACGATTTTAGGAGTCGTAAAATTTGAGTTCAATGTTATTGTAATATTTTATTTACTAATTTATTTATTTCAACTTTCCAGGTTCGTTTAAAAGAATCTCGAGACAAAAAACGTCAGCAACAAGAAAGCACTTCCTCAAATGGATCAAATGGAAAATTGAAAAATTCGAGAACTCACGTCTCTCTGCATTTGGCAAGAGAACTTTTGCAAAAAATTTGCATCAACGACATCACGAAAAGCCGAAGTTGCGAAAATCTACATGTTCTATGAAAGTAAATGAAAAAATCGTCGATTTCCTGAATGAAATAAAGCTGGCCTTTGCATTCAGGCTGGAATAATAATAATGGTCACATGTTCTTGACCAAATGGTTTATCGCTTTAAAATTAAAAACATAATTATGAATGATATTACTAATAATTAATGGCTGTCCTAATTTCTGTTTGTGTATGACGTAGAAATATTAAGCATGTTTTGAAGATATTTTAATAAAAATGCAGGCAAATGCATTTAATTTTTGAGATGCAGAATTTTGTCACAGGTGACAAATTGGCGATTGTTGTATCAACAATTTAAGATAAAATCATGTCATTTTGAAATGAACTTCAAAATAGTAATTAAAATTGAAAATGAAATAAAATTCAAAATAGTAATTAAATAACATATAAAACTGTGCATTATAATATACCTATCATTTAAACTTTATACTTCAATTTAATTATTAAATTTATATTTAAATATTCATTTTTTCCTACGATAGCAGTCTTCTAGAAAAATTAATAATTTATTTTAATTTGAATTATGATTTTCTATGTATATACATGTAACATATGAAATATGAATATATATTTAACATATGTGACAATAATAAATACATAATCCGTTCTCAAAGTAATATATGATAAAATATCAATACTTTAAGCACAATCTATTTTGCCAATACGAAAAATAGATCTTACGTATATCATATTTAAAAATACATAATAAATCTTAAAATTAAGCAGGATATTTAATATTGTATTTAAAGAGTAAAATCTTTCACTTAAAATAAATATTATAAATTATCATGTTAACTTAAGAATTTTTTTTGTAAGTTTAACAGTATTTTTAAAAAATATAATTATTTTTTAATTTTGTTCTCTATTAAATAGTTTTAACTATATAAAATTATTTGTCGTTATTTTAGTTATTTTTCCTAGGGTTGAATTATTTATTTTGTTGTAATTTTTAAATATTATTAATAAATACTGAAATAATATATCATATCTTATAGTGTATGTTAGGTTTATGTTAGAATTAATAATAATTAATCATAATCATACTATTAGTGCTAACATATCTTGTAACATTCTAAAGCTATGTCAATTAATCTCTAACGATTCTTTAAATTTTAGATTTTCTATCATAAATGTTAAGTTTTATAAGAATATAATCTTTGATGTGATATTTTTATATTTCCTTATTGTATAATATTTATTAAACATATTAGTAACTAAATGCAAAGGACTCAAACACGATTTCTGGCAGATGTTATATATTTTGATACAACAAAGTAAAGATTTTTTTGTAAAATATATAAGAAAACTATTTTTTTCCAATAGTCCCGAAGCTTAATTACAAAAAAATTACATTTTGTTTTAGGTATCGAAGTTATTTAATATAAAATTGAAATGCAAATTACTCGCATTGAATTGGATTTTAATAAAATAATTCCTTGTAAATATTTTGATAGAATAATTTTAACGCGCAAGTACCGTGTCATGGTTTATCAAAATTATTGCAATTTCTCATCTAATGAAGAACTGCATCAGCAATTTATTTAATTTAAGAGATACTAGGCAACCTTTGACTTTCACCATCGACCTGAAATATTTCTATAATTTTTACAGACTTTAATCCTACAATTTAATCAATATTTATCCGCAAGATCTAATTGATGCCAATGCGCAATAAAAATGTAAAATAAAGTATTTTTCCATTGGAAATTAAATTTTTTAAATATAAAACTTTTCAAATTTCAAAATTGCCAACAATTGTATTATATATATTATCAAAATTAAAAAAAATTTACTCTAACTTTCAATAATAAAAATGTTTTCAAGAAAACGTATGTTACAGTCCTTCGCATTTAAATTTATATCTATCGCATATTTGTTAAGTAAATGTGTGTCTAGTATTTAATTTACAATAAAATAACAAAATGTCTCGCAAGTTGAAAAATTCAAGTTTAGAAAAAGAATTAGAAATGATATATTCTAATTGTAATTCAAACTTGAAAACTGTAAAAAAATTACTGGCAAAACCTTTACATCTCAATGAAATAAATTCACTATAATCATTAGTCTTTATAATAAACTTATTGTTAGTCTATTGATTTCAATTTTAATGTAATTATAAGTATCATTTTATATTATTCATAGATAAATCTTCCATGTAAAGAATTATCTTAATGACAATCTACCATAGGTATTTTAATATGTATATATCAAAGTTAAATAAAATATAAAATCTATATTATTATTGATCAAAATGTGTAATATAAACTTTAATGTGATAATAAAAATGTGTGTGCATTTTATTTATGATCTGTTTTTTTTTAATATTAAAGTTATATTTATATTGGCTATTAAAATTTTTAAATTTTATTGATTTATTTATTTATAAGTAAGCAGATAGAAATAAAATAAAATGATGGGCCCTAGGGCAGGTCCATGAGCTGAGTTAAACTCCAATTGGATTCAAAGAAGAATAGTATGAGAGATTTGCCATTGCCATTACACACCGCAGTGCTCAAAATAGACTATTATCAATAAAAAAGAACATATTTTTGCTATATATTTTCAAGTGAAAATGGACATCGCTACTGCACGATGTCAAGACGTCCAGAACGGGGTTCTACTTCTCACGACTACGTCCACACGAGTCCGTGAGCTTAAACCATTTCATCGTGGAGCACCCATTAATCATTAGTGAAAACTATTATTTTGAATCTCTGAATTAGTCATGAAAATAATATACCAATTGGTATTTTGAAAAAATTCCACAACAAAATCCAAATAAAATTTTATACTGAAATTAGAAAAATATTTCATATAAAAAATCGAATCAATTATAATTTTAATCCCATTGGTATTTAATCACTTTCCCAAATAGATTATTACACAATCCTAAGTCATTAAAGATAGGTTTTGTTTATCAATTAGATTCCGTGATGTTGTTTTGATTGATTTCGGGGTAAAAGTCAAATATAATTAACGTCCAGCTGGTTTACTATATAAGAATGAGCAATTTGCAACTTTGTATGTCACTTTACATCTTAACGATCTTAAGTGAATTGATATTTTGCTCGAATCAGCAAAATGAAATTTTCTCTGGTGTTTTGTATTCTGCTATCGGCAGGTAATATAGTAAATGATACATTTGAAAAATATATAATTTATATATTATCATTAATATTCAAAGTTCAACTGTATGTAAAGAATTTACTTTAATCTTCTTATAATCATCTTTCTGCTTTTCTGATTGCTTTGATACTAAATACGTATCACTTGGATTCCCAAGTAAAATTTTAGCGAATCTCAAAATTTATAACAATGTTATTGTTTTTCCATGTTTCTTCATTTTTTATGATAGTAAACTAATGAAACTATACCTCTAATTTAATTTTTATATTTTTCAGCTTTTCTGTGTCTCTTCATGGTTATGGCACTCCCAATCGAAAACTCTATCACATCCATTGAACATCTACCAAATTCAGATGATCCTGAGCTATTAGAAAGACAAAAACGTTTCACAATGTCTACTTTCATGAACATGAAAGGTGGTGGTTTTGACAAAGCAGAAAATGTGGATATATTCCTTTCCAACCAGAAAAACAAAGAGTTCTTTGGCTCCATCATTGCCGGCGGAATAGCCGGGTCTCCAGGGGGGCCGGCAGGCGTAGGGCTGGGGGCGCTTGCCGGCGCCGTAGGTTACGGAGTGGGCAATATACCGACTTCGAAGCCGAGGAATAATACGAGACGTCACTAATATACTAAAATTATCAATTATAATTGATAAAATTAATATGAAAGTTTGAATGTTATTTTAACTTTTAGATATGTTACTATTTAACGCAATTTAGATAGTAGTATTCAATTAGCTATATAAAATTAATACTTTTCCATATCAAATTGCAGTGTTATCAAATTTATTATATTTTATTAGTTGAATATCTGCCTAGAAATATAAACTTAAATGTACAACTCAATTGAATTTATAAAATAAAATATATTGAAATTTTTAAACATTTATGTGTTTTTTATTTTAAAAATTATTGGCGAAATGTGTTGGACATCTTAATATATTAGGTTTCAATATTAAGTTTTTCCTTGATAAATATAATAATCTGTTTCACTATATAAAATAATAAGACAGGGTCCGGCACTCGAAGTGTAACCAATTGAAAAAGACATAAACTCAGTTTGGAAAATTACTTTTACTCGATTCAAAGTACAAAATGTGTATTATAATGTAATTATTATCACAATTATTTAAAATTATACATATTTTATTAATTTTTATATTTTTATTTTAAATCATATGCAGTTTTATAAATATAATTATATATATATGATTATAATATATATATATTAGGGTGGTCCTTAACATGGACATTCTCGAATTTCCTTGCTCCCAAGTGCTCAAATGGTTCTAAATTGATAAAAAACAATTCTCTGAAAGTTTTAGCTTTTAATATTAAATTTTAGATAGTGCGCAATTGTCCATATTAAAGAACACCCTAATATATATATATATATATATATATATATATATATATACATTCAATATATAATATAATTATATATATATATATATATATATATATATATATATATTCAATATATAATATAATTATATATATATATATATATTCAATATATAATATAATTATATATATTATATATATATATATATATATATTTATAAAGCAATTTGTACATTTATATATATATATACGAGTATATATATATATATATATATATATTTATATATGATATATATATATATATATATATAATATATATATAAATGTACAAATTGCTTTATACATATATATATATATATATATATATATATATAATATATATATATATATATATATATATATATATATAATACATATATATATAATAGCTAAAACTTTCAGAGAATTATTTTTTATCAATTTGGAACCATTTGAGCCCTTGGGAGCAAAGAAATTCGAAAATGTCCATATTAAAGACCACCCTATATATATATATATATATATATATATATATATATATAATATAAATGTACAAATTGCTTTATACATAATTTTTAAATTGTAGCTTCTACTTTTTTAACATGCTTAATTCTATCATAATCACCTACAATATTTAAAAGTAGTGGTTTCTAATTTTTGCAACACTCACAGTATGATATGAAACAATATCATTTTTAAAAATATCATTAAATATCATTATGAGAACTATTTAACAATTTACATTCACATTTGATTAGGTTCAAATTTCTAAATGCAATAAGCTACCTATACATACTCAAAATGTTATCATGTTATCAATATATTCACTTTTTGATGAATGAATTATAAGCCTAATTCACAATCAATTTAACTGGGATTATGAACAATCAAGAAGTAGTTTTATTTGTATTAACAATTATATATTATGTGTATTACATTTTCTATTTTTACACAACTATTTTATAACAGAAATTAATCAGAAAATATCCCATTTAAAGAATTTACTTTATATGTTTGATTAAAATATAGTTCGTATTATTCATCAAGTTACATATCTTATATGTATAAACATAGTTTTAATTTTGAATTTATTGCGTTCAATTAAAAGTTTAATAACTAAATATATATTGAATAAATATTATTAAACATAGAGTTTAATTCACAATTTACTTAACAATTTTTTTAAAAAATAGGAAGAAATAAAGAAACTTGCATATCAATCAAAAGTTTGAAAATAGATTTAATATCAGCATTCATTGTAAATACTTCTTGGAAGATACAGGTCATGATCTTTGCAATAGGAATGCCTCACTTATAAAATACTTCATGTTTTCGCGCAATTAGTCTTTAATAAAACTTTGATTGTGCATGAGGTTTTTCAAAATTGTATAAAATGAAGAATAAAATGTTATATTTTATTTTCAGTAAGTATACTATATATTTAATAATGAACTTAACTTTTGGGAAACCAATGCAATAAATATTTTTAGTTTTGGTGGTGCTTGTGCCAAACCGTCTTGGATTTGTGCAAACATACCCAATGCAAGAATTATATAACAAATCTTTAAAAGATTTATCACAATCAGCAAGTGATGAAAAAATATCAAACATCTCTGACATGGCAATGGAAGTTGAAAAAGAACCAAACATTATTCCAATAGAACCATTATCCAGAATTAATTTACGTTTAAAGAATTATGAAATGTTTGCTAATAGGGCGAAAAGGTTTACAAGTGCGGCATTTATGAATATGCCAGGCGGTGGTTTTGATAAAAGAAATGCTATTCATGATGCTTTAGCAGATAAGAAGACATTAGAGTTTTTAGGAGCTACAATTGGAGGTGCTGTAGCTGGTGCTACAGGTGGTCCAGCCGGAATCGGTGTTGGTGCAGCTGGAGGTGCCATCGGTTATGGAATTAGTAACCTGGGTTGAGAAAAAGAATTATTCAACATGCACAAAAACCAGCATATTATTTAAAACTGGTAAAATCTTATGCAAATTGAAGTTTCTTTATTATCAAAGAATTACATCTTTATTATTTTTGTTTTGTAAATTTGAAGTAAATTCTCATTGAGTTAATGGTGTAAATTCTCATTGTGTTAATGGTGTATGTTAACGTACAAATCTGATTTAATAAAAATATTATTGCATGTATTTTTTTGTTTTTTAAAATGTGCTCGTATATATTGCATAAATTGCGTAAAGAATTTTGGATCTGGTAGGTGTTTCTGAAATAGTCACTCTTTCTGTAACCAGTAAATTGTATTGTATTATTATGCAAATACAAAAAATACAATTTTGGGACCATTTTTCTGAAGATGTTGAACGTTACTTTTAAATAGATATATAGACGGTTAGACTTAGCACTGAAAGGGTTAATATAAATAGATTGAGGATTTCACGTTTAAAAGTTTTATATTGAAACAAATGTGTCACATCAAGTGCACGGCGCAAAAAACAAAATGGCTAATTGCGCATAATAAACTCCATGAAAGTATTAATAAATGCTTGACTGCCATTGCAAGAAATATGAGTAATTATCAAATAATGTTTATAAGTTTGGGCAAAAGACTAAGAATGTGAAATTAAAGTCTAATATAACATAACAAAATTCAATAACGATATTGGAAAACACAGTTGTCATATATAAATGAAGTATATATTATAAACAAATGTCAATCTACATACCTGTTTCTGAAAGACTTCTGCGTACAGCAATCACTCGTTTTGATTCTCTTGATCCATAATAGTAACTATTCGCTCTTTTTTGAAAACTATTTACACTTTTTATGCACTGAAAAGTTAAATTATTATTAAAAATAATTTGCGAGACGCTCATCACGGGAGTTCGAATACTTATGCCAACTTCCCTCGCAAAGGAAGAGATCCTTCTACTGACATGAACAACTTCAGGTCGGTCACCCTGGGTAAATTTTTACAAAACCAAATGCAGATAATGGATAAATTCAAACAGTAAATAATATTAGAGATTAAAGTTAATTAATTCACGTATAAACCAATATATCTTCTATTATTTTTAGTTTGAATTAACGTAAAACAGTTATTTCAAAATTCATAGTTGCGCTACTTAGCACAGATGGCGCTGCTTCGCAATCAGCTTAAGGCTTAATTTTAGTATCTGGCAACACTAATTCTCAAAACAAGCTGTCAACTTATATTATTTATTAGTTGTATTTATTATTGAAAAAAATAAAATATGTTCGTTAGCAAAAAGGTACAGTTGTTATGCAGAAGTGCATTTAAAAATTCTAATAAAATTAAGATTCAACAACAATGTGAAAGTGAGTTTTTAAAACTAAGTGGTTATGTTTTGTGCAACTATTTACTTTTCTTAATTTATAGGAAGTTTGAGTAGTTTAGAGGCCAAAGAGAGAAGAAATGAATTATTTACTCTAGAGAAAAAACGTCAAAGGGAGGATGTTGGTAGAATAGAAAAAATAGAAGTAAGATATTTAGGAACTCCCAAAGATGTGACTCTTGTAATGAATAAAAACTTGTCCACGCCGTTTAATTGTGCACAACGTAAGTACTATTTATCCAATTATATTATATCCAATAGAAATTAAAATTAATTAATTCACGTATAAATGATTATATATTCTGTTATTTTCAGTTTGAATTAAAGTTAAACAGTTATTTCAAAATTCATAGTTGCGCTGCTTAGCACAGATGGCGCTGCTTTGCAATCAGATAAAGGCTTAATTTTTGTATCTGGCAATACTAATTCTTAAGACAAGCTGTCAACTGTATAGGTTATATATTATTAGTTATATTTATTATTGAATAAAAATAAAATATGTTGGTTAGCAAAAATATACAGTTGTTATGCAGAAGAGTATTTAAAAATTCTAACAAAATTAAGATTCAAGAACAATGTGAAAGTGAGTTTTTAAAGCTAAGAGGTTATGTTTTGTGCAACTATTTAGTTTTCTTAATTTTTAGGAAGTTTGAGTAGTTTAGAGGCTAAAGAGAGAAGAAATGAATTATTTAGTCTAGAGAAAAAACGTCAAAGGGAGAATGTTGGTAGAATAGAAAAAATAGAAGTAAGATATTTAAGAACACCCGAAGATGTGACTCATAGATAATGACTATAATGATAATGAAGATAATGAATAGATGTGACTCTTGTAATGAATAAAAACTTGTCCACACCGTTTAATTGTGCCAAACGTAAGTACAATCTATCCAATCTATCCAATTGTAAAGAATGTTGAAATTTATGTCGGATAAATTTTAGCCAAATGCAGATAATGAAAAATTTAAAAGATAGATGTTATTAGAAATTAAAATTAATTAACTCACATATAAATGATTATATATTCTGTTATTTTCGGTTTGAATTAACGTTAAACAGTTATTTCAAAATTCATAGTTGCGCTACTTAGCACAGATGGCGCTGCTTAGCAATCAGATTAAGGCTTAATTTTGGTATCTGGCAACACTACTTCTTACAACAAGCTGTCAACTCTTTAGGTTATATATTATTAGTTATATTTATTATTGAATAAAAAATAAAATATGTTGGTTAGCAAAAATATACAGTTGTTATGCAGGAGAGTATTTAAAAATTCTAACAAAATTAAGATTCAACAACAATGTGAAAGTGAGCTTTTAAAACTAAGAGGTTATGTTTTGTGCAACTATTTACTTTGCTTAATTTTTAGGAAGTTTGAGTAGTTTAGAAGCCAAAGAGAGAAGAAATGAATTATTTACTCTAGAAAAAAAACGTCAAAGGGAGGATGTTGGTAGAATAGAAAAAATAGAAGTAAGATATTTAGGAACTCCCGAAGATGTGACTCTTGTAATGAATAAAAACTTGTCCACACCGTTTAATTGTGCACAACGTAAGTACTATCTATCCAATTATAAAGAATGTTGAAAATTATGTCGGATAAATTTTAGATTTAAGTGAAGTTCACACACAACGTGCTTTGGCTTTAATTGACGGACATACCCCATGGGATATGCACAGACCATTGGAAGTAAGTAGATGTTTAAAGCATTTCATATCTGTACATGAGAATAGTTGCATGCAATGAATATCCATTTTGAAAGCCTATTACAATACCTTTTCCAATTACAGGATACATGCACATTGCAACTTTTAAACTTTACTGTAGCGGAACCTCAGATGGTCAACAAAGCATATTGGAGAACATGTTCATTTTTATTGGGTGCATTAGTTCAAAATGTCTTCAAAGACGATATACCAGTATTTCTCCATAGTTTTCCAGGACCAAATAGTAAATATACTTATAAGATAAAGCAATTTTGTGATAAATGAATTATTCATTCATGTACTTGAATATAGATGCCTTTTTTATGTCTTCTAGATTTTTTGTCTATTTTAAATCATTTGTTTACATCATTTGTCTTCTTTAACAGTTCGATCTGGAAGTTTTGTGCATGATTTTGAATTAGGCATACCTGATTGGAAACCAACGCCACAAGAAATGTATGCATTATCTGCAGAAATGATTAAATTCTGTTCTAAAAGTTACCCAATAGAAAGATTAGACATTTCTGGAGACTTAGCATTAGAAATGTTTAAGGAAAATAAACACAAAACAAAACAAATTCCTTCTATATTGCATCAAAGTGGTAAATAATCTAAGTTCATATATAAAGCATAAATTTCAGATTTTTCTTTGATATTGTATCATTTGTTTTTATCATTATAGGAATCATAACAGTTTATCGAGCCGGAACACATGTTGATATTTCAAGAGGCCCCATGATTTCAAATACGAACCTACTTGGAAAAACATCAATAATGTCACTTCATAAAATCACAAATACAGATACAGTTAGTGAAGGTGGTCAACTATATAGGCTGCAGGGTGTTTCATTGCCGAAAGAACTTATGATGAATCATTTTGCTTATGGAATTATAGAGGATAGGGCACGCCAATTGGTAAGTCTAATTCTAAGTACATACATATTACAAGCAAGTTTTTGAGATATGTTATTATAATTGAAAAGAGTGAAAAGAACATCATTTTATCATTATTGATAAAATTGATTTATAGCTGCATAGTTATTAAAATTTTGTACTATTTGTATTGAGTCAATTACTTGAGGCTGAAAAGATATTATTATATCTAATTAATAAAGATATATCAAGTATATCTTATGACAATTACATTTTGTACCATTAAATGAAAATAATTATTAGAATTATATATCCAAATCTTTGGAAATTTAAGTATTTATCCGTGTCTAAAATAAGTTTGTAAAGTCATTTTATTTAATCGTTTCTCATATTATGTTTACTTAGCAATTTTGTATATATATATATATATATATATATATATATATATATATTATGAGTATTGGTGCAGACATATAGAATAACTCATCATTATGGAAGGACTCTCAAACTTTAAATTTGAAGATTACTCAAAATATTTCAAGGAGAATTATGTTTTGAAGATTAAAATCTGTTTTTTATATATATTTAATATATAATCATATCCTTCTCATTTTATTTCTTTTACAAATATCTAAGAAAATTTAAAATTTTCTTAGCTTATTATTTATATTGTGATTACAGAACACCTCATCAAGGATGCCACACGAACCATACGCAGCAGACGAACCGCGACCTACACCAGTAGAAGCTATTTCTTAAATAGATTTGTTACTAGATAAATATTTTATAATAATTAATAACGAAAATAAATTATATACTTTGAATATTGTTATTTTAACTGTCTGAAGGCAAAGTTTATGTTTTAGAAAAATAATCCGACTTGCTGATTTTATTTTCTTCAAAAGTCATTCTGAATTGTTTTGGATCAAAATTGGAAAAACTATGTGTGAGCGGAAGTTTAACCTTGCGCCGACGTTTTCTCAAAAACAGCTGGATTGATTTCAAAAATTCAAAAGCCATTCAATGATAAGGACTCGCGTTGAGAATTTTTTCAAAATGATCGTCAGATGAATTTCTTCACAATTAGCAGGCAAGTGCAAACATTTATTGTCTCGTTTTAGTTGAAAAACCTGAATTTATTTTAAAAATTAGAACATCGTTTGAAAGTTATTAGTTTGGGAATCATGCTGATCGGTTTTTGGTAATGAATGACCGGGCCCGTTTCTTTATAATTAATTGTTGATTTTTTTTTAACAATTTTAATATAAAGTTTTCAAGATTTCTAAAATATTATATCCCTACAACAAGTGATTTAATTATATAAACTTTGTCAAAGTTTGGACTGATGGAATGGCTCAAAATTTCAAAATTTCATTCACTCATACTTAAAAATTGCTAAGTTTGACCAAGTTTATTTAATAATTATTGGATTATTTGCATATAAAGGAAAGTTCATGCTCTAATGACACTTTTCCCTAGTGAATTTTTGTTTTCCTTCTGACCAAAAAATATATTCAAAATATTAATTTATATTATTTATTGTTTTATAAATATTTACTTTCCTATTTTTGTTTTGATATTTAATATATCTTACACCTTCTACTTGCAGATTCTATTATAATCGTTATAATCTAACTTTATAAGTTAAAAAAATGCTATTAACGATGTGATAAGATTTCTCTTTGAAGAATATTTCGCAAATGTTTATAGTATAAATTAATATAGAGTATACCGAGCTAAATTTTAGGAAACCGGAATAAATCAGTAATTGCGAAATTATTTGTAGTAAGGTTAAGAAAGGAATCCTTTGTTCGTTTTCACTGCCAAGAACCAGATAATATATTGGACATTTTGTATTTTTTATTTTTATGATTACCAAGAAATTCAGTGAATAAGCTTGAAAATACCAAAAGTTTGTTCCAAAAAGAGCCAAAACTGGTATTTCAGTTTTAAGAGAACAGAGCGTCCGATTTGAATCATTCGAAACAGCTCTGCAGCGCGATTGATTTAAAAAAAAGTTAAAACTTTTCAAAAATCTAAGTTTTTTTTTTATTTTAATTTTTGGTACAGGAAGTTTCAGCAATTTGTCTTAAGGCACGATGCCATTCTCCACTAATTTTTTTCTAAAATACCAAATAGAGTATTTTAGAGAAAATTCTCTATATTTACCCCTAGTTTGTTATTCACTGGTTTCTTCGTATTGTTATTGTATCCAAAAGAAGAAGTAGAGAGGGCAAATGTCACTCACAATCTCAATCTCATAATTCAACTCAACACAACAGTGCCTTCCGACGCCAAGTGTTTGTTGCAAATTGTCTTTCATAGAGATCACATCGAAATTAAAAAAATTACTAGTTTTTATTATTGTTAGTTTATAAGATTTGAAACAATCATGAAGGCGATTTGGCTTCTATCGCTGTTTGTTTGTACAGGTGAGATAAATGAATTTTTTTAATAATTATGGTACTAATAATAAAAATCTTAACATTTGAAATGTGGTCCTCAATCACTTTTATTATATTTAAAAATATAATATTTGAGATTATCATATTTAAGATTATCTTGAGATTTTTTTCTTAAGATTTTCTTGATTTTTTTCTTAAGATTTTCTTGAGATATTGAGATTTTTGCATTAATTAATGTAATTTAGAAATAGAAAAAGTGATTAAGTATAAAATATTTTTCATATGCTAAATTTTATATAAAACATTTGATAGAATATTTAAATATTTTTAAATAATTTTTTTTTTTAATTTGAAATGATTTCCGAATTAATTATTTGGCTAACAAAGGTGTCAGCTAATACTATGAATTTTTATCATAAAATTATCTATCGGAAATGTTTTAATAATTTATTATGATAAATAAATTATTATAATAAATGAATTATTTATTATAAGATATTAATTAATATCTCCTGATTTAATAATTTATAATAATCACAACATCTGTAAAATAATAAATCACTTATAAGTGATTTATTATTTTACAAATGTTGTGAATATTAGTAAACAAAATATATCCATCACTCTCTTCATAATTCTAAATATGGTTCTAAAAGTCTTAATATAAACTTAAGTTTTAGAACCATATTAAGAATTATGAAGAGAGTGATTGATATGTTTTGTGTTCTAAAATATTAATATAAAAATTTGATGAATATGTAATTATTTCTGCAGATAACTTTTTTTATATTTAGCAAGTTAGAGTTTTATGCGTGATTGAACCTGGTTCTTTTTGATTGCAAGGTTCAAAAAAGCGCCCAAAATGCCTATATAAATATATTTTTGTAAAATTATTATTATTTTTGTAATAATAATCTGTTTTAACAATATTGTATATCTGTGGTATGTAGGAGCCTTTATCTTTTGCTTTAAATTTAAAATATTCTACCTGTATGGCTTTTAGATTTCTTATCTAAAGTATTTCAAAAATTGTTCTAAAAGTAAATCGTTTTCTCCTGTTTTTGTTACCATATCCTGTATTTCGTGATAAAATAGAATTCTTATATCGATTGCTATTTTGTATGATAAAATTTTACTAAATGTTTATTATTGATTTCATTTCAAATTATGCATATCGAGAAATTATTATCAACTATTTAATAGTATAAAGGATTTTTTAATAAACAATTACTCATTTTAAAAAATATTTTGGTATAACATGGTATAACAAGTTTTCGATTAGAAAAAGCGTAGTTTGAGAATGCTTATATAAAAAACGAACAGTATACTATACAATATCCAAAGGTTTTTATACTTCCTTATACAAAAAATATACAAAAGAATTCTATTTGAGATCAGAATCAAAACGTGCCACATGGTTTAAATTTTTTTTAGATACTTGCTATCACAGGTGTGCGCTGTTTCAAAAATTTAAAAAAATATTTGTATAGAATTACTATTCTCTTTGTGGCTGTTGTATTTATACTTTATATTTTGTTAATTTTATTATCTTTATATTATAACCCATTAAACTTTAAACTCACGATTGTATATGAACAAAGTATATATTTAAACAATACAGATAAATTATAAACATAAATGTATATAGCTTCTAAAATACATTCTCAAGATGTCGATGTTTTTGATGAAAATAATTACAATTTAAAGACTGGAACACTTTCTTGGTCAATCACAAAATCTATTAATTATTTTTGAAATTAAATCTGTCTTGTTGATTTTTACTCTAATTATACATTTACTAATATTATTAAAAATATTATTGGTATTATAAGTTTATACCTATATTATGTTTTTTTCAATTTTTAATTTCAAAAACAGTGATATCCGACGAAGTACCAGAATGGGGGCCACAATACACAGTTAAAGGAACTCTTTTCATACCATATGCCGAAATTCAAGAACCTTTCTATGCTTGGTAAGCATATTTAATATTAATTATATTAATCAAATTACATGTTTTAAATGTCTATTATGAAACAGTAGAAAAAATTCTTAAGTACTTTTATGATTTACCAGGTATGATGAAAATGCAAAATCTTCAAGAATTGATTACTACGGAGGTATGGTGAAGACTTACCAGTTAGCCGGAAAAAATAATAATTATGGTGTCAGCTTAAAGGTAAATTGAAAACAATATTCATATAAATTTTATTCGCATTTTTTTTTCAAATAAAGTTTCTCTCAATTGCACCGTTTGATAGAAAAATATTAGATATATCTATATTGATTTTTAATGCAAATTATAATCATATAAATATATAAAGTAAGAAAATACGCAGTTTTTTTAGGTTTTGTCAAACGGTGAAAAACTTTGATTTTATCACAACTATGAATGGAATAAAATATTTTATTTATAACTTTGTAATGAAATCCTATATTCTCTTGGCTGAATCATCATATATGAATAATATCTAAGGTAGTATGTGAAAAAATAAATAAAGACGTAAAAAAAACAGAAAGAAATTCGATATTATTTTTGTTCAGCACAAAAAGATAGTGATAGCCAAGAAATTTAATCAAGGCGGATATTCAAGTTTTTCTGTCTACGCATTATATTTCATAAATTTTGATGCGTAGTTGAAATTTAACAAGTTTGGTCAAAATTAACAAAAATACAACAAATACAATTTACACAAAAATTGATACAAATAAATTATTTATATATAAATGTTGCTAGATAAAAATAATTCACTTACTATACTTCGTATTTAAATATTTTCAAATGTGAATTTTCTGCCATTATCAAATTAAAACTTAGATTTTCTTTATTAAATTTACGTGAACCCCTTGGTATACCTACTTTTGATTTTAAATTTTATTTATTATTATAATTATATTTTATTAAAACAATTTCTCAACTTTATTATTGATTTCGTGATGCATCTCCTCAGATTGCTCCTGTTACTACAGAAGAAGAACAAAATGCTGATACTTGTCTGCAAATTAATGGAACTAAAGAACAAACCATTAACATTCAGCCTATTCTTCCCGATTTGAAATTGTTCAAAAGAGTCGGTAAGATAAACATAATAATTATAATAATTAGTTTAAACAATTTCTCCTAATGTTTGAGATTTTTTTTTAGGCGAAGAAGAAATTTTAGGACTGAACTGTGACAAATGGAGTTTGATCGACACCATCGGCCACAAAACTAATAAATACACCATGTGGGTCAGGTACGTACAAAATTTAAAATTTTTGCTTACACATAATTTTGATTATTACTATTTATGTGTGTATATTTAATTTAGGTACAAGAAATCTCACAAAAACTCCGCAGAACGTTTATCAATTCCTGTAAGATACGAAATGAAGGGATACAATTCACTTCTTGGATCTCATTATGATCATTACTATTTGGAATACGATTCTTTCAGCACAGATGATATTGATAACGAAGTTTTTGAAGTCGATGAAGGTAAATTCCAAATTTATAAGTTAAATTTCCACAAATTTAACATTTATCGTCTTCCTTTTTTAGATAAACCTTGCGTTGGTTTCCCCGGTCCAGGATCAGGAACAGTTGCCACTTTTAATCCAATGAGGGAATTCGTGCATCCTCATTTTACTGAACATATTGATGAAGAATTCCACCGATTCATCAATAAACACGGAAAAATTTATAATAAAAATGAAGAACATCATTTCCGCAAAGAAATTTTCAGACAAAACTTGAGGTAAACTGATAAAATCTCAACATAGACTCTTCTTTACTAACTATAACGATAAGGAGCGATAGGATTTTTTTGGATATTTTTTGTATATTTTATCTTTTGGATTTCATTTTCTAGGTACATTTTTTCTAAGAATCGTGCAAATTTGGGATACACTTTGACTGTTAACCATTTGGCTGATCGTACTGAAGCTGAACTTAAGGCTTTGAGAGGACACAGACCTTCCTCCGGTTATAATGGCGGTTTACCCTTTCCTCACAATACCACCAAGGAAGCAAGAAATTTACCAGATTCTTTTGATTGGAGAATTTATGGAGCTGTTACTCCAGTTAAAGGTAGGATGACGCAAATTTTGGATAAAAAAATTAAAATTTGAAAGAATTTGAAATCATTAAGTTATTAAACCAACGTGATGAGATGAAACTAAATATTCTGAACCAATTATAAATAAATACCATTCCAAAAACGTTAAGATTTGCGAAAAGGTATAGAATTAAATATAAATTTGCATAAAATTATAAATATTAAGTTTTAAGTTCAAACCCCAGGATTTAATGAAATTTTGCTGTAGGAATATTCGAATAATTATATGTTAATAAAGTATTATATCATTTAAGATCAATCTGTCTGTGGTTCCTGCTGGTCTTTCGGAACAATCGGAGCTATCGAAGGTGCATATTTCTTGAAAAACGGCGGTAATCTCGTGCGATTGTCTCAACAGGCTTTGATTGATTGTTCTTGGGGGTAAATGTTAAAAAAGTATCATTTTTTTAAACGTGGCTGTTCGAATGATAGTACTATTATTCTTTTTATTGTAGATATGGAAATAATGGTTGCGACGGTGGCGAAGATTTCCGCGCCTACCAATGGATGATGAAACATGGAGGAATCCCTACTGAAGAGGATTATGGTGGTTACTTGGGACAAGTAAGATCAGTTATTGCCCTAAAAAATAATTAACAGAAATTTCACTATATACAAATTTTTTTCATTATTGTTGTTATAATCTGATCCAACTAGATGAAAAATGACTCAATTTTTTGGCAAATGTTGATGAAAAATGAAAAATTAAGATTGTTTAATAAAATAATTAGTTGGTATTTGCGCCATAAGTATGCATTTGAAAAGGGAATTTTAAAAAGACAATCTCTCAGCTAATTTCCAAACAAAAATAAAAACATCCTATATAATTTGGGAATATCTAAAAATATCTACCTAAAAAAAATGTTCATGCATCCATTCTATTTCAAGAGTTTATTGGTGGTTCTTACGAAGAACTGATTTCTAAACCTATGAATTGCTATGGCAAAATGTATTAACACCTGAAGTCTTCAATTTTGAGAATATTCTTTTGTCTATTTAATTTTGTATTATTTAATTCTTCAGGATGGTTACTGCCATGTCAACAACGTTACTTTAGTTGCTCCCATCACAGGGTATGTCAACGTAACTCGTAACGATGTTGACGCTATGAAGGTAATTATTACATTTTTATGAACCACAAAAGGTGTAATAATAAAGTTGAAATCCTAAATCAATTAATTACACTAATTCCTTATTTATTAATCTGGTTTATGATCAACTAGGTTGCCCTTCTTAAACACGGTCCAATTTCGGTGGCCATTGACGCATCACACAAAACATTCAGTTTTTACTCCAACGGCGTTTACTACGAACCGAAATGGTAACTATCAATTCCCAAAGTTGTTTTTACCTTAAAAATATAAATTTTGAAGTATTTTATAAAATCATGTATCTTTTACCAGTGGCAATAAAGAGGACGAGTTAGACCACGCCGTATTAGTAGTCGGTTATGGTGAAATCAACAGCGAACCTTACTGGTTGGTCAAGAATTCCTGGTCGAATTTGTGGGGAAACGATGGTTATATTTTGATGTCCGCCAAAAATAATAATTGCGGAGTTTTGACTGATCCAACTTATGTTACTATGTAACTTACTTTTTAAGATTTTGATTTTTTTACAGGCATTGTAAAATTGATGTTTAGCTTTAAACGAATCCATATGGAAAGATGAGAATAAACAAGACTTAGATTAAATATTTGCATTTTAATACGTAGATTGGAGAACTGCCAAGGTCTATTTGAATAGAAAATATATTTTGAAATATAGTTTTCAAAAAAAAACAATTTTTCATTAGTTCAAATCATAGCAGACTGGTAAATCGAATGAGGATGCTAATTATCATAAAGATATTATAACTATTATAAAAAAAAATTTAATTAAATATGTTATACTTCGAAGAAAAGGTAATGCCTGTTTATAAATGTATTTATTTAAATTATTTAAATGTATTTATTGCCGTCAATTTTTTGTTGGATCTTTGTATGGTTGAAAGAAAACAGGAAAATTAATTTAAAACAAAAAAAATCGAATTTATTTGAAACTTTAAAAAAGTATACAATATATAAAATAACATCAATAAAAATTATACATGTTTTCTGAGACTTTACAATACACTATCATCAATTATATGTAACAATATCTATTATTTTTTCAATAGAGTTCGCTGGGCTGGGCTTGAAGTACGTGGACCAGGTATATTGGAAACGATATTCCCTTTGCCGGTTGGTTTATATTTCAAATTATTATTATTTGCTGAATTAGGATCTTTCAGTGAAGTCAAAGATGAAATTTTTCGTCGGGCCGTCATTATGTTTCTGCTAGCATTTTGGAGAACTGAGGACGCACCTGGATAAAAGACATATTTGATTTCCTTTTGTAAAATTTTTACTTAATAATTAATTCGAGGGTATAATTTAATTTATGCTACTGATAATACGATCTACTTTTATAAAGTATCTTCTATGAGCTATACAACCAAATACCAGAAGTACTGAATAACTAATGTTTTATAGAATCATAATATGTTCGAGTCAGTGAAGTCAGTAAAATCATCCAATATTTTGAAAGAAATAAATATTACTTGAAGAAAATATACCTCACATACAATCGAACTTGTTTTATAAACAATGATCGATATCATAAAATGTGTACTTTATACACAGAATGTCGAAACTATTTTATCAACAATTCATTGAAGTACATGTGTTCTAAAATTTTAGTATATTTTTTAGCAATTTTTTTTTCGAGAATCATAACATAATATTAATTAATATATATTAATTGAATGACCCATTTTTTTAATTTTTGGGTCAATTTTTCAATATAAATTGGCAGACAATATAATTTAATTCAACACATTTGATTTCATAGAAACATTTCATAAACCATAAAAAAGATTTGCGTAATTGCTCATTATTAAAATAAGAAATATTTCAAAAAAGTAAATCATCCAAAATTTTAAATAAATAATTTTGTACCATATTTCACAGAAGTTGTTCATTTATTTCATAGAATAAAATTAAAATTTTATTCAATGTTTATTCGGCAAAAACTACATAGATTGGGAATCACAAACCTAATTACTCAGAACTTTCCAGTGATTCCCAACCTGTGTAGTTTTTGCCGAATAAACATAGAATGAAATTTTAATTTTGTTTGCAAGTCCCTGCAACTGGAGCATCCAAGTTTTTCCAAAATATTTTGTAATTCAAACCAAAAAATAGGAATTGGTGTTAAAAAATTGATAGTAATTTATGTATGTTTTTTCATTATATTGTATATTATTTTGTATGCCGTTAAATAATTTATAATAACAGTTAAATATTTATAATTTGGACATTCAGGAGGCGCACCAATAATTTTAAAAAAGTAAAACGGGGAGGACGCGGTATGGAAAGTTTGCAAACCACTGAAATAAGTATGAAATTCATATGCTAGTATATTACACCTACTAATTATTTTACTAATCTTACCTTCTGCTCCTTTAGCTTGATTATTACGGATGGCAACGCCCGAAATTTTGGAGGTAAGGGACTTCCTAGCAGTCGGCAGCCTTGCGGCTCCTAAAGAAAATCGCCCTACTGCGCCCCTGGCTAACCGAGGAGTTGGTGAGGCTAATTTTCGAGCTGCTGTACTTGATGTATTGTTAAGGAACGAAGGATTGGACAAATTTGTGAGTTTTATTTAAAGATTTCTTCAAAAGTTTTTCAATTTTGTCCATGTTGTCCTCTTGTCTTTACATAGTTTCATTATAGCGTCGCAGTTCATCTGAAATTGAGGAGGATGACAATGGATAATTGGTTACTTGTTTTTTATTGAAACTATTTGTAACCACATGATAAAATTTCAACTAATATGTAGATTAGTCGAATAGTAGAAATTTTAAAATAAGAAATATTTATGTAGCTAATGTTAATATCTTATAACAAAGTTATTACTGATCCTTACTTCGTCCAGCCTGATTTGGCCTAATCATCTGTAATGCTAGCTATTGGACTTGATGTAGCTTGCAAAAATGG